AAGAAACAAAAATCTCCGATTCAAAAATAAAAGTTCTTACATAAGATGGCTTGTTTTGTATTTGAAATTACTGAATCGGAGTGCCCTCTATTGGAAGAAAAGAGGCAACAAAAGTTAAACTGAACCAAGAATATAGGTAAAATACTTCCAAAGCTCAAGTCACATCATTAATATGTAAAATACATTAATTAATAATACGGATGCTACAAAACATATTTCCTTACATTTTTATTTCTCCTAAATAACTTTTGGAATTACTTGTCATATTACAATAAGCAAGTTGGATGTTTCATATCCTATGAAATTAAATTTTAACTGAACCCAAATGCTCATCATTTAACTAGTAATATAAATAACAGACATACAGAAATGTTTTCCACATTTAATATTCCAATATAACATAGAAATGTTATAATTGAGGACTGTGGTTTGAATGCAGTTTGGATTTTCCCTAACGATAAACTGAAAGCCTCCTTGCTACGGACCTCACGTCGGTGTCCCCTCCAAGTTCATATGTTGAAATCCTAACCCCCAATGTGATAGTATTAGGGAGAGGGTGTTGGGGGGTCATCAGATCATAACCCCTTATGATGTGCTAGTGTCCATATAAAAAAACATCAGCAGGGCCAGGCACAGTGGCTCATGCCTGTAATTCCAGCACTTTGGAAGTCCAAGGCAGGCGGATCATGAGGTCAGGAGATCGAGACCATCCTGGCCAACATGGTGAAACCTCTTGCTACTAAAATACAAAAAGTTAGCTGGGCATGGTGGCATGTGCCTGTAGTCCCAGCTACTCGGGAGGCTGAGGCAGGGGAACCGCTTGAACCCAGGAGGCAGAGTGCAGTGAGCCAAGATCGCGCTGCTGCACTCCAGTCTGGCGATAGAGCAAGACTCCATCTCAAAAAAAAAAGAAGAGAAAATAAAAGAAAGAAAAACACCTCAGGAGAACCTGCTTTTTCCCCCTCTGTTCTTTGCCACATGAAGATACAACCAGAAGACAGCCGTCTTCAAACCAGGAGGCAGACCCTCACCAGCTGCCAGCTCTGCTGGATACCTTGATCTTGGGCTTCTCAGACTCCAGAACTGTGAGAAATAAATGCTGGGTTTTTTTCAAGCCACCCAATCTATGCTAATTTGTTATAGCATAAATAATCCCTAATTCAAGAGACTTTTAGAAGCTCTTACACTGGGGAATTGGAGCAGTAGACTGGATATTAAGATCTACGAGATTTGTTCTATCTGAAAAAATTGTTTTGTGGCGTTATCAAGACCTCAGTTCTGACTCAGCATCTCAGACATGAATTACCTCAGTAAGATCTTGGCTGATTTTTGGCTCCCTAGACCAATCATATGCATGTTAGAATAACCTGAGAAGCTTTTCCAAGAATAATGCTCAGAGCTACCCAAAATTATTTTGATTTAGTTGGTCTGGACTGGAATCTGAGGGCATCGGTATTCATTTTTTTTAGAGCCTCTCTAGGTAAATCTAATGTACAACTATGGCTGAGAACCATTGTTTGAGCCTCTCCGCGATCAACCAACATACAACTACCACTTTTATTTTCCAAAAATGTCACTTTCAGGAGAACTCTTCTACTCAAGAGTTTATTCTCAGCCTCAATTTTAAACTTCTGACTAGTCTCCCAATCTACTTAGCTGCCTTTGTTCTCTGACAACAGAGTTGAGTGGCAAGTTGAGTGGCAAGCTCCAGAATGTCTGTGTTCTTGGCTCTATAATTGCTGCGTGAAACTGGGAAAGTCATAGAAATAATACTATCCTTTTCACAGGGTTATTGTGAGCGTTAAATCAGTCAATACAAGTGTTCCACAAATTGAGGCATTATCATTACTTATCCAACTTTATTTCCTACTACTTTCCAGAACAAACTCTCATCGTAAATCATTCTCAAATTATGCACTAATTCTTACCTCTGTGCTTTTGCATATATTGTTTCTTCAGGCTGGAATCCTTTCTCAATCATTTGTTCCAACTAAAGTGAAAAACACAGCTCCCCTTTCACCAAGACACAGCTTAGTCTCTCCCTACCTCCACAAAGACTTCAATGAATATCTGTAAGTATTCACTGATATCTCCCTTTTAAAAATTCCTTTGGCCACAAGGTAGCATACTATGAGAAATGTGGCTGAGAATTAGAAACATTGGCTCGGAGTTTGAATCCTCACTCTGCCACTTGGCAGCTAAGTCATTTTCTAAATCCATATTGTAAGAATTACTTAGTAAGTGACTTAAATCATGTAAAGCATTAGAGTAGCAAATAGCAAAAACCGAGTGTCAGTTCTTATTTATTCAGTGTTTTATATATTAGTCTTCAGTTAAAGTCTGCACACTATGACTGAAGTCTCCTTAGGACAGGTGTTTTGAATCACTTGAAGTCAAGAACCATGTCTATTATAAACCCCACAACTCAAAACATGATAAGAACCATCTGTATTAGGTGACCTATACTTGACTAAACTTTTTGCATCATGTGAGAGTGTAATTGAAGTGATATTCTGGAAAAAAAAAAAACTTTTTTGATGAATAGAAACAAATATTCAACAAAACATGGAATGAATTCAAATAAAACACAGGCTACAGAAAAGGGTCAAAGTAATTTGATTACTTTTTAAACATTCGTTAACAGGTCTCTATCAGATTCATTTTCTGAAAGGTCAGTTCCAATTATGTCTTTTATCTGCCCAAAATCCTTTAGATTTTTCTCATTTCTTAAAATAATAAATACCAAAATTCTTAGCCTGACATTCAAAATCATCCACCACCTAACCTCAAACTAGACTTCTAATCTTATCTCTCATCTTTCCCCTTTGTAAACTCTATTCTTCCAAATAAACAGAATTATTTGCTTTTACTCATACATACCATCTGCTTTTCTGCCTTCACAAAATCTTTAACATTTTATAGGGAAATATTTTCAAAGAACACTATTGTGAAGGTTTGTCACAGGAACGAGGAGTGGTGTTAGAAAAGTATGAGCTCAGATTTCAAAACCTTAACGCTCAATTTATGAGTATTAATTTCTTTCTTGCCACTATCACAATATAGTCTTTGGCTTACAGAAAAACTTGAACATCTTTTCCCCAAACTATTGTCAGTCTCTCAAAGTCAAAAGTCTTTGCCATCACTTCCTGAAAGACAGAAGCTTGAATCATGGTCTCCAAGCAGCACATACATATCCCAGGACATACAAGATATTCATTGAGTAAACGAAAAATAATTAGAGCTTCTGTTTTACACTTATTCTCTACCTTCCTCAATTTGAATTTCTTTTGTTGTGTATGTCTCATAAGTTACATCAAATATTACTAGAAATGTAGTCTCTCTCTCTCTCTCTCTCTATATATATATACACATAATTTAGAAATACTCAGGGATATTTGCTCAAAATCTGTTTACTAATGGTATGTACAACAAAAAAGTCTGGAGAGCCTGGTCTAAAAAATTAGGGCTTTCAGAATATCTGTGGTTTTACAAGTAGAAGGCCAGAAGCTACCAGTTTAGATAAATATTTGGGGATGGATCTTAAAAAGTAAATACTATGTATTGTTTATATAGAACAAGTAAGTTTTAACTTCTAACTAACTTTCAAGGAAATATTAAAATGTAACTGGTAATCTAGAGATAGCACACACCTGTTTCAGATACTTTAACAGAGGATTTTGTCCCAACATTAAAGTTACTATTATAAATATTTCATTAATATAAAAATTTCATTTGGTAAAACCTACAGGTATTTAAAACCTCAGTACATATACAACTGTTCATAGTTATTCATAAAGAATTTTTATTGGGGCCAATAATAGGATGTTTTTGCAAGAGAAAGTGAAGCACAAAAACAAAATGAAACAAAAAAAGCAGGCCTAGGAGGTAGGACTAGCCATGGAACTAGATTAGCAAGTGCTATCCCAGAAAACAGTGTCACAGCTTACTTTAAGTAACTAAATTAAGTAAATGTTCTTGTAATGGACAGTCACTATACTAAGCAAGTTTTTTTTAGTTTTCACAAATAATATGACATACTTAACACAGTTCACTCTATTACTGGCTTTTGAATAAAGTATGATATATCTGTAACAAATTAAGTTCTAAAAGTGACAAAAGATTTCTTATCAGAATAATGTATTTCCTTTAATACCAGTATATACTATAAATCCTTCCTGTACAGGACAAAAAGTAAGTTTACAAATCTTAATATTAAACTGATTTATTCTCTATAGTTTTTCTTGCTATTGTGTTCATATAAAAATTCAAATGAGCAAGAATCACCCATGGCCTGACCTCAATCTATCCTTCTAATCTTATCTCCCCTCTTTCCTCTTTGTAAACTCTTATTCCTAATAAATAGAAATACTCGCTCTTACTCAACTATATCATCTGTTTTTCTGCCTCATATAACCTTTAATATTTTATATGACAATATTTTCAAAGAACACTATCATAAGGGGTTGTCACAGGAACTAACTCATGCTTAAGATTCTGAGCTCATTGAAGAGAAACCTCTTGGGATTTGCATATTATAAAAATATGCAGACTGAACTTTCCATATTTCTCTCCTACTATTACTTAAGGAGGAAGTGAGGAAACCATACGTGTGGCTCTGCTCTGTTAGACTGAGTTCATAGAGAAAACAGGGAAGACAGTCAAAAGGAAGGTTTTTGTCTTTTTTTGGGAACCAACATCATTATGCCCAGTAAAACTAAGGAATACAACAACAACAACAACAACAACAACACTACTAAAAATCCATGCGTTTAAGAAAGAGTCTAAAGTAGAGAGATCGTCAAGTGATCTGTCAAAGCACTCCTTCCCCTACACACGCACTGAGAGTAAAACCCCAAAGAACGTCAGGAATAGTGCAATAAGGAAACTGACATCTTACAGTGGTGGAATCTGATAATGCGCCATGTCTCATGCCTCTTAGGTGTACATACTGAACTGGAAAAGGCAGACACATTGTCTTCATTTCCCCCCGCCTTACTTACTACACTCTGGCTTCCATTTTTCCCAAGTTCTTCCTCTGAAATCTTGCTCAAATTATCTAAGTAGTGGTCTGATATTGTGTGGCACAAGTCTTCAAACGAATAATCCTTTTCTTGACAGAGTTTTATTTCATCCAAGAGTTTTGATAATTCTCCAGTGACGGTTTCACCTATGAGAATAAGTTTTTCAGAAGTTTCAAGAAAGGTTATTGTTAAAACTTACTGTTAAGCAATAAAAATATGACCGCTATGGTGATAGAACTCAAAATGCAGCAAGATTAAGCAGTCAGACACTGTTCTTCTGAAAATAAGGTACTCAACCATAATTAGTACAACATTATTAATGGACAAAAGAGATTATAATTTTGCCTATTTTTATTCTTTTTCAAAATATAAATAATTATTGTAAGGTTATGTATACATGGTACATAAAAGCATCTAGAATTACAATTCCCAAAGCTTCACTTATTATAGGATTTAATTTCCCTAATCTTTCATTGGTATTTTACTTCACTAACAGAATTCATTAGCAAATTTGAAATGGTGCTGAAAACCTTCTTCCTAGGTTCAATAAACAGAAATAGTACAAGTTATTTAAACAAATAATAATATAGGTAATCAGTACATTAAGAATTATGGTATATGATATAAAGTAAAAACACAAAAGAAATAGATAAATAATATAAATAATATACATCATCTGTCAAACATGAAGATTTTGTAGATTACATGAAAATATGCACATTTCTAAACAGTCTCAGAAAGGTACCTTATACCTGTAACTTATTCTGAAAAAAATTTCCAGCAGTTACAATCCAGATTTTAATATTTTTATTCTGACTTAAAAACATATTTAAGACCAGCTGACTATAGATGCAAGGATTTATTTCTGGACTCTATTCTGTTTTATTGGTGTATATGTCTGTTTTCATGCCTGTACCATACTGTTTTGATTACTGTAGCTCTTCACAAGGGTTACAAGAACACAAAATGTGGAAAAGATAGTCTCTTCAATAAATAGTGTTGGGAAAGTGGATGTCCACATGCAAAAGAATGAAATATGACCCTTATCTCATCCCCTCTGTAAAAATCAACACAAATGAGATAAAGACTGGAACATTAAGACCTGAAAATATGAAACTCCTAGAAGAAAACATAGGGAAAAAACTTGATATTGGTTTGGACAATGATTTCTTGAATATGAACAAAAGCAAAAATGAACACACAGGATTGAATCAAACTAAAAAGCTTCTGCACTGCAAATGAAATGATCAACAGACTAAAAAGATAACTTAAGGAATGGGAGAAAATATTTGCAAACCATAGATCTGGTAAGCGGTTAATACACAAAATACATAAGAAATTCACATAACTCAATAGCAAAAACACAAATAACCTAATTTTAAAATGGGCTAAGGACCCAAATAGACATTTCTTCAAAAAAAGGCACATAAATGACCCAAGATATATGAAAAGGTGCTCAACATCACTAATTATCAGGGAAATGTAAATCAAAGCCACAATGGGTTATCACCTCACATCCATTAGAGTGGCTATTCTCAAAAAGACAAAAGATAGGAGGTGTTACTGAGGATGTGGAGAAAGGGAAGCCTGTATGCTGTCAGTGGGAATGTAAAATGGTATAGCCACTATGGAAAACAGTATGGAGATTCCTCAAAAAATTAAAAATAGAATTACCATATGATTCAGTAATCCCACTTTGGAGTGCTTATTCAAAGTAAATGAAACCAGTATCATGAAAAGATATCTGCACCCTTCTGTGTTGCAGGAAGTCAAGGACCCCAAATGGAGGGACCAGCTGGAGCCGTGGCAGAGGAACATAAATTGTGAAGATTTCATGGATATTTATCAGTTCCCAAATAATACTCTTATAATTTCTTATACCTGTCTTTATTTTAATGTCTTAATCCTGTTATCTTCATAAGCTGAGAATGTATGCCACCTCAGGACCACTATTGTGTTAACTGTACAAACTGATTGTAAAACATGTGTGTTTGAACAATACGAAACCAGTGCACCTTGAAAAACAACAGAATAACAGCGATTTTAGGGAACAAGGGAAGACAACCATAAGGTCAGACTGCCTGTGGGGTCGGGCAAAATAGAGCCATATGTTTCTTCTTGCAGTGAGCCTATAAATGGATGTGCAAGTAGGAGAGATATCACTAAATTCTTTTCCTAGCAAGGGATTTTAAATATTAAGACCCTAGGAAAAGAATTGCATTCCTGGGGGGAGGTCTATAAACAGCCACTCTGGGAGTGTCTGTCTTATGCGGTTGAGATAAGGACTGAAATATGCCCTGGTCTCCTGCAGTACCCTCAGGCTTATTAGGGTGGGGAAAAAGTCCCACTCTGATAAATTTGAGGTCAGACCAGTTCTCTGCTCTTGAACCCTGTTTTCTGTTGTTTAAGATGTTTATCAAGACAATATGTGCACAGCTGAACATAGACCCTCATCAGTAATTCTAATTTTGCCCTTTGCCTTGTGATCTTTGCTTTTTCCCTTGCCCTGTTTCCTCTGAAGCATGTGATCTTTGCTCTGCCTTTTGCCCTTTGAAGCATGTGATCTTTGTGACCTACTCCCTGTTCGTCCACCCCCTCCCCTTTTGAAATCCCTAATAAAAACTTGCTGGTTTTGTGGTTCAGGTGGACATCATGGACCTACCGATATGTGATGTCACCCCTGGCAGCCCAGCTGTAAAATTCCTCTATTTGTACTCTTTCTCTTTATTTCTCAGACACTTAGGGAAAACAGAAAGAACCTATGCTGAAATATCAGGTTCCCCCAATACTTCTGTTCATTACGGCATTCTTCAGAACAGCCAAGACATGAAAACAAATCCACTGAGAGATGAATAGATAAAGAAAATGCAGTGGGTGTATACATTTATATACATACTACACAAACAATGGACTATTATTCAGCCTTTAAAAAGAAGAAGATCTTTCCATTTGTAACAACATGGATGAACCTAGAGGGCATTATGCTAAGTGAGATGAACCAGGTACAGAAAGACAAATACTGCATGATCTCACATGTGGAATCTAAAAAAGTCAAAGTCATAAAACAGAGAGTAGAACGGTGATTGCCAGGGGCTGGGGAGTGAAGGAGATGAGAAAGTGTTGATCAAAGGGTATTAAGGTTCAGTTACGGGGGATTAATAAATTCTGGAGATTTAAAATACAGCATGGTGACTATAGTTAATAATATTCTATTGTATACCTGAAACTTACTAAGAGAGTTATCTTAAGTGTTCTCTCCACAAAAAAACAAACAAAAAAAAAACTATATGAGATGATGGCTATGTTAATTAGTTGATTTTGGCAGTTATTCCACAAAGTATATATCAAATTGTACACTGTAAATATATACAATTTTCATTTGCCAAGTGTACCTCAATAAAGCTGGGGAAAAACACATTTAAGAAAAAAACACATCTAAGAAATATATACTCCAGATAAACTTCATTACAGCAGGCTTGGTTTTCTGCTTTGCTCACTGCTGTATCTCAGGGCTGAGAAGCTCTAACCAGTAACAGAAGCTCTTATAAATGGATGAAATATAGAGTATAGGATATAACCTATTAGACTTGAAATTTTCACAACTGTACATACAAGTCTAGTATGGTTTCCAGGGCTTTATAATTAGGTACTCACTTTTGGTCTTTTGGGTGGGAGACTCAACAGGAGATGAAATGTGTGTTTCTTGTGTTGCATCTTCCTGCACAGGCTCTTCAAGGACTGTAGATCTTCCCACACCTTCTAAATACTCTGTGTGTATACATTTTTGAGATTACATACTTAAATTCATTTATTTTAAAACCAGTACATTTTATGTTTTACTTCTAGTGATCAGTTTTGCATTTATTTTCTCATATCCTAAGTTTTCAAAAGAACTTCAAAAAACCAAACATATCAAAAGAACATCATGATGACCTTAAAGTTTTAATTTTAAAAAAAGACACCAGATTATTTGGGAGAAACTGTTGAACCCCTTTCTTCTAAAAACTAAACTTAAAACATTCTTTCCTTAAAAATAAATTCACCTATTGAAGATACAAAAAACTCCTTGTTCTCCTTACTTCCATCTGAAGATTTTAAACTGTCTGAAAGACGCTTTGAATAGATTTAAACCCTCAAACAGGAATGTCAAATTCAGATGGACACCACAACCAGCCAGGTAACATAAATGAATGAAATGGAATAAGTTCATTTTAAAATGGTGCTGTAATCTTGTAAGATAAGAACAATTTGCATATTAACTTTATTTCCACAAAGAAATAATGTTCATTGCCATTATTCTTTAAGTAATGTCCTATACTCAGCCTATTTTTCATTTTTCCAGTTTTGATACAAATATAATATTAGGAATAGCAGCTTAAACTTAAATATTGCTTACTATGGACCCAGCATTGTTCTAAGTATTTTGTATACATTAACTCATCTAATCCTTACAAAACTATGACACAAGCACGATCTAAGTTTTAAAGATTACAAGTAAAGGGGGAATATTATTAACTTGTCCATGTTCATTCAGCTAATAGGTGGCAAAGCCAGATAAATATAAGACAAGAAAACATCTCGCTTTTCTCTTAATCACAAAGAAAACAGCATCTGAATGTAGAAATAAATGTTAACCAATATTCAGCCTCACAGACCATGTTTAACCAGAGAAAAAATGACCAATCTAAAGTTCATCCCTGAAATAAAACTTCTCTTAGAGAAACCAAAACTCCAGAGTTTGAGCTAAAATTCCAGATTTTTTTTTTTTTTTTTTTTTTTTTTTTGAATAGTTTTCGGTCTTACAGTCAAGTCTGTAATGCATCGTGTGTAGCTCATTGCATACGGTATAAGGAAGGAGTCCAGTTTGACATACTACTGACAGTGTGACAGTAGTATGACAGTAGTAGAGTCACTGGTGACAGCGACCTACACAG